TCATTTTTACAAAATTCCATGACTTTAATAGTCATTTTTACAAAATTCCATGACTTTAATAGTCATTTTTACAAAATTCCATGACTTTAATAGTCATTTTTACAAAATTCCCTGACTTTAATAGTCATTTTTACAAAATGCCATGACTTTTCCAGGCCTGGAAAACAAAAACAAATTTCCATGACTTTTCGTGGCTTTTCCAGAACCCTGCAGTGGGGACTACTAACAGAATACAGCATGACATCATTTGGACCAGGAAGTGTAGTGCCAACAGATGAAGTGCGTGCCCTTGTTGGTTCACATGCTGCCTTTTACACATGTAACTATGCCTGTGGAATATTCACGTCAGGACTTTTATCGCTTTGTATGGATCAGGGGTGTGACTGGCAAGTCAAAATCAAAGCTGAAAACATCCAGTAAAAAGCTGAAATATAAAAAAAGCTCCAATACTTCTGTAAAGACAAGGTGTAAAAAAAAGGTGAAATTCGGGCTAAACATCCTAAAGCTAAAAATCAGCTAAAAAGCTGAATTTTCACACCCCTGGATTGGTTGGATCCAGCTGTAGCCAAAGTGACAATTCTTCAACTGACCTTTGACCTCGTTGCGATAATCTTTCATTAGCTGTTTGAGGTACAGCATCAGGTGGCGGAGGGTAGGAGAGTGGGCCTTCTCCAGCTGAAGATCAATTGATAACCAAGATATCCGTCATTCACTTAAGTTTCGACATAAACCAACTATCAATCAGTGTGGACTAATCTGACATTAATCAAGAGAGAAATTAATTGGTTTCTACTTAATCAACAAATCTTTACCTAATGGGCCAAGTTCAATACTCATTGCAGAAATAGTCCAGGTTGATTTCCGTGTGAGATATAATAGTCTACAGCTTGTGCATTGAAATAATGATAAATTAGCTGAACGGAAAAAGCACCAACCAAATAAACTTGTGACACTGCTATATGACTGTTGGTGTGTTTGATTATTTCCCTCATGCTTACGTTACTCATGCAAGCGGGACTGCATTCGATTTGAAGCTCACATCACCTCTCACACTTTTCCTGGATCGGCCTAAGTAACCACTGAGCCAGTTTATGCTTGGGGGAGTGTCCCATAATAAAATGCAAAAACATGGCAGTTTAGTCAAATGTTGTGAAGGAAAGCTGATATCATTGTAAGTATTTCAGAAATACCGTTGGATTTAGTGGCAAACTGACTCAAGTTATCCAAGTCCTGTGAAAGAAAAGCCAAAGATGTGTGTTTGGATGTCTCCTTACTTTAAACCGTTCAGATTGGGGGGGGCAAATTTAAGTAATGTACGGCCTCTTGAAATGGTCAAGGAACCTCGACTAACCCGTGATCATTCATTCATTGCCTTAGATTGACCATATATGTGGAAACCTGGGATGAAACCTGGTGTAAGCATGAGGGAAAGGACTGAACCTGCCGACAGGCATGCAACGTGGACTTTGACAAGAAACGAGGAAATTCAACCTTTACAAGACATTGTGAATAGTTTTTCAGTTTTAAATGGCTCGAGTGTGAAGTGAAAAATAACGAAATCAGCTGATCCGAAGAAAGGTTGCTTCCCTGTATTTGAGGTAGGAATATCTACGATTGTAGCCTGCAGCCCCGTAGGCTGGGGGGGGGGGGTTGAGGGGTTCGAATGAACCCCCCCTACTGGCTTCTGAGCTCCGCCTGTTGGTGGTTTTGTGTCTGTGTGTGAGTGAGTTTGTTTCTGCATCCAACTGGGGGCCCTGAACAATAGAGGACAATAAGGTCCCTGATTGACAGAGGGTCCCCAATTGACAACTGTGTACAAAACATAGGGGTGGTCGTCTAAAAAAGTTAAAGTACAAACAAAAGAGGAACAATAGGGGGTCCCCAGTTGCAGGCAAATACACACTTGAGTGTGTTTGTACTGAATATTTTAAATATACCGTAATATTTGGCATACAAGCCACGGCTTATACATTGATTCTCAAGCTCAAGGTGACCACGATTCTGAATATTAATGAATCAATCTCTAGTCATATGTGCAGTACCGTCAGAAAGTTCCGGCAAATACCCACATTTGAGGTGTTTCAAAGGGATTGAAATCAATGTCATTTGGTTAAGTTTATTCAATATTGAAAACTACAGTGTACAAGTCTTACATGCAACCTTTGGTTCGCGACAGACATGCAACTTTTCAATGTTATTTTCCAAAGCACATTGGGATAGGCCTTTGTATAAAAATATGTGTTCACAGTGCCAAAAGTTCCACTTTTTGGTTTGACGAACCCCCCCCAGTCTCTGGTCAGGCAACGGGCCTGGCCTGTGGGAAAAAGTCAAGGGTGAATTCTTACCGTGTGCTTTAACGCGATGACAACAGGCACAATGTTCTCGATGACGTTGCGCTTGACCACCTGCGTGATGATCTTCGTCTTGGCCTGATTGATGACCGCTTCGGCCATCTCCATCTGGTCGTCGATGTCGGCGGTCGGCCTGGATCGCAGAGAGGCCAACTTGATCTCCTACAGCATACAAATGGTTAAAAGCTAGAGCCATTTGTGCATGTTGTGGGGAGCGGGGGTGGACGATGAAAAATCTTCTCGGAAATTTGGCCAAACTGTTCACCTTGCAGCAGAGGATGTCCAATGTGTCTTGAAGGAGGATGTCCGTCTCTTCATCCAGAGGGAGAACGCCATCCACAATGGCAGCGAGGACCTAGGAATGAACAAGAATCAACAGTCTCGCATTAAATTCATTCCTTCACTAGACTCCATCGTCCTTTCCATACGGGTGCGAAGACACGCAGGGGATCTCCAAAAGTGCATGAGGGTATGCCGTCATGCGAAAGTGCTTTATCCTGACAACAACGTGAACACAGACAGTCGGCAAAGTTGGATCGTGTCTAACATTGCCTACGTCGCACTTTGGCCAATTTTTCTCCTTTCAACTAAAGAGACTGAAAAGCCAATTGTCACAAAAAAACAGCTGGATGCGGAATGGAATGCACCACCATGAAGTACCGGTCCACCTTGAGGAAATTTATACTTCACTTAAGAAGGCATTTCATTTCAGAGTTTTGGGTGCCATTTTGTTTCCAAGTTTTCACTGAATGCCAGCGCACACGCAATGTCTTCCATGACGGCCTGTCTATTGAAAACTGGAGTGCTTACGGCATTTGTTATGGCTACTTTTCATTGGCTAGTAACTTTGTGAGGCTTCTTGTCCTCAGATGAAAGAAAAAGACATCAAAAGTGCAATGGCATTCACAGTTATACTTATTGTGGTCAGTTACAGTCGCCATGATGATGTACATGTATCTAGTCTACAGGGGTTTACGAATGACCGAGTGTGGCAGATGTCAATGGGAATGAAATCACAACTTGACAGGACAGATAAGATTTTGCCGCTGTTCATACTGTAAACACTATCAAGGACAAATACTGCACTAATCACGAGCTGCAAGTTGCTCTGAATGAATATTTACACCTTCGTGCATAATATCCAGTGGCTGCAGTCAAAAGTACAGGGGCTTGTTGGGAGACTATGCATATTGTTAAAGTCGGGTTGCATGCATATTCATAGCTTTTTACCTCTTGGCACAGTTTGGCGGTGAGTTTGAAGCGATGCTCGTCTGTCATGTGCTGCAGCATGAAGCTGTAGATGGTTCTCCTTTTGCCGGCATTGGGGGCGCCCTTCAAGGAAAACAACTGCTTCTCACGATCCGTCTGGCTGAACTGATTGTAGACTGGGGAAGGGAAAATAAAAATTGACATTCCAATCAGCAGGCCCTCTGTGCTCTGACATGACGCTTCACTTTAAACTTCCTCAAATATTGAAACATTGTTGTTGAAAATGTTTCATTCTTAAAAGAGTGTGTCCCAGTGTTGTAGTCGAGACCGTCACAAGACCAGTCACAAGCTGAGACACTGGACAGTCACAAGACCAGTCACAAGCTGAGACGCCAGACAGTCACAAGACCAGTCACAAGCTGAGACACCAGACAGTCAC